ATGGTGTGTCTGCCCAAAAAATCCCATGGCAGCACCTGGAGCCACATCAGAGCCTTTTGTCCTTGCCATGACCTCCCAGCAGCCCAGAGAAGCTGTGGCTGCCCAATCCCTGGAAGTGTCCAAGGCCAGCTTGGATGAACAGCCTGGGCTGGTGGAATGTGTCCCTGCCCATGGCAGGGGTGGGAATGAGATGAGATTTAAGGTCCCTTCCAGCCCAAACCTTTCTGGGATTCTATAATGCACAGTGTCGTCAGGTTTATCAACTCCACAAAATCTGGGATACATCAAACACCAATACAGGTAAACCTTTGAGGCTTATATATAAATAACTATCTACATAAACCTTCACAACTGGATCCAGCAACAGTCACTGGGATTTTTCCCTTTCCCTGAGCTCACCTCCGGCACAGAATTAGATTTAGATCTCATTTGGATCCACATTTAAAGGCATTTTGCATCCCATGCTGGGCCTGACCACGGACCACAGCCAAGCTGAGCACGTGTAGGTGTTGGCTCTGCTACAGAAACATCATCCCATCCTTTTTTTTCCCCAAGAGCTCCAAGCTGACAAAGCAGCTGGCATGGAAAGATGCTCTGCAAGCTCCTGTCTCTGCACTGGATCACTCAGCTGGATTTTGCTGCGAGGGAGAAGACAGCACAGATCCCACCAAGGCTCGTGGAGAAGTTTTGGACCTGCTGGTGGATGCTGAACCCCCAACCTGCTGCTCTCCTGGAATATGGACCATGACCCTGCAAACAAACACAGCACAGACAGGGCCTTTTCCAGGACAAGCAATGCCAGCACAGCTGGAGTCTGGATTTCCTTGTGTCTTTGGGAAGCAGCTTCACGTCCGGCATTAATTGCTTTCCTAATTACTCCGTCTCCCTCCGCCGCATCTCGCACTGAATGACACTCTTGTTTTCCATGCTGGATCACCCAGGGATTTTTCCCAACCCTGTTTATTTATTAGCTGGAGTTACCTTCCAACCTAACCGGGTTTAATATTTGTGTTCCACTTGGCCAAGACTTTATTGACCGTGGAGAGGCAGAAATCACTGCCACACACCCATGACGCCGAGGTCGGGACGGAGCAGTCCAAGCCTCCTGGACTGACATCCCAAATCCAAAGGGAACTAAGGAAACAGCAGCCTGGGCATAATTTTTTCCTCCGTGCTGCTCCCAAAAGCCTGTTGTTGGCATTGAGCTTACTCCAGACATGCTGTATGTGCACATACATTCCTTGGCCATGCGATCAGACCGGAAAAGATTGCCTTCAGCCCAGGAACCGCAGCGGGAAGGAGGCTGGAAAAGCTGTGCAGGCACTGAGGAGAGAGAGCTGCAGGCTCCAGAAAAGCTGCAGTCAACACTTTTCTCTTTTTTTTTTTTGGGAGAAGTGGTGCTAAAAGAGGAACCAGCGCGGGACGTGCGGTTGGAAAGGCTGAGCTGGGGGTGGGGGGAAGAGCTTTATTTTGGGAAATCCCTCCTCTCCCTCTGCAAATCTCCCTGCAGGAGGACCTTGTGCAGCACCAGGGCCGGTCTGTGTGCCCAAGGCCCTCCCAAGAGCATTGTCACAATGCCACCAAACCAGCTTCTCACAGGTCCCTGGACTGGGAGGCACCACTCCCACCAACACAGCTGAGGTCTGCCCAGTCAAAGGGTGTCTGAGCACCTCACCCAGCTGGGGCTCACTCCCACCTGGAATTAGGTCAGCAGGACAATGCCCAAACCATATTCCAGGCTGGAGCCATAGATTCAGGCACTATCCTTGCACTCATACCCCACCACGTAAGGCAGGATGCTTTCTGGAGGGGCAGAGTCGCAACCCTCACAGGGAGAGTTTTGCTCCAGCCCCTCCAGTTTCATTGAATCCCATTTGGGTTGGAAGGGACCTAAAATATTCTCTAATTCCAACCTCCTGCCACGGGCAGGGATAGTTTTCACCAGACCACCCAAGCCTGACTCTTGGCGCCAGACAGACACCTTCTGTTGCCCTATGGACATGGCTCAGGGTTGGGTGAGCTTTGCTACTGCCTCACACTTCAGCCAGAGACATAAAACCTGCACATTTCAGCTTCAGGAGACATTTTCACCTTTCATTTGCAGCACAACTAGAATGAAAAGCTCCATGTCCAGACAGCTAACACCAAGACCCAGAACTGGGAATTCCTGTGTAAACCTCAACCATTCAGTGTAGCACAAGCTCAGCTAGTCTTGCCCTTTGTGTTTAGCCACTCCTTGCTCCCACCAAACATTCCCCTGAGTGGCCGTGGCAGCTTGGCATCCCACATTCCCAACACAGCTCCATGAATTTTGGCAACACCAGTGTGGCTGAGCAGTGGTGTGGCTGCTCCAAGTGCTGAGCATTCCGGCACGGATGCGCAGAGCTCTGCGCTTTGCCGAGCGCCGTCGGAGCAGGATGGGCTGGATGTTCAGGAGCTGCAGCAGGAGCAGGGCTGAGCTCCCAGCCTCCCCCCTGGAAGGCTCAGGCTTCCATGCTGAGCAGCCTCTCTCTGAGTGTCAGTCACTCACCGGTGCTGCACCGGCATTTGCATAATTCCAATTATGATTCCAAAAGGGGGAACAGGATTTGACAACAACAACTCTGCAGTGCCTGAAATGAGCAGAGGAGGAGGGAAATTGTGTCTCGGACCTTCATGGCCCTGCAAACACCTTCTGCTGGGTCTAGAAAACATGTCCTATGGGGAAGGGCTGAGGGAGTTGGGCTTGGTTAGCCTTAAGAAGAGGCTCAGGGGTGACCTCATGGCTCTCTGCAACTCCCTGACAGGGTTGGAGAGAGGTGGGGGATGTCTCTCCTGCCATGGCTGCAGAGAGAGGACTAGAGGGAATGGCCTTGAGCTGAGACAGGGGAGAGGCAGAGGAGATATTAAGAGAAATGTATTCCCTGTGAGGGTGTTCAGGCACTGGAATATTGCCCAGGGAGGTGGTGGACTCACCATCCCTGGAAGTGTCTAAGAGGCATCTGGATCTGGTGCTGGAGGATATGGTTTAGGGTTTAGGGATTTCAGCAGTGATAGGTTAATGGTTGGACCTCATGATCTTAGAGGTCTCCTCCAACCCTGATGGTTCTACGATTCAATGATTCTAAGGATGCAGCAATCCTGGGAGTGTTCCAGGCCAGGTTGGATGGGGCTTGGAGCAACCTGGGTTAGTGGAAGGTGTCCCTGCCCATGGCAGGGGGTGGAACAAGATAAGCTTTAAGGTTGTTCCAATCCAAACCATTCTATGATTCTAATCCAGATTTTGCCACTGGAAAGGGAAATCAATGTGTTTGAGGAAGAGTGAGGCCTCCCCCTGGCACTGCTCTGCCTCTGTCACCCCCCCATTCCCTCAGCCCTCATCCCCTGCCTCCCCAAGGAGCATCCCAGCTCCCACACCTTGTGCCTTTTCCAGTTTTCTCCTACACCTGGAGGCAAAAGGAAACCAGGAGTGATGGAGCCACCTGTATGTGCCCTTGGTGTGTTGAGCTATTGCTGCCTATGAGCCAGGAGCAGCAGGATATTTAATCTCCATGAGTCACCTCACCCTCCCTGTCTGCCATCTGCGAGTCCCCCTTCCTGCACTGCAGGTTTGGGAGCAGCCTGCTCCGTACCCACACAGCTGCGGCTGTCCCAGAGCCTTCCTGGCTGCTGTGGCTCACATTTCTGGCAACCTGGGAATGTCAGATGTTAAACACATCCACAGATCCCATGCCTTAAACAGCACCTGAGTTCCTAAGGGTGGATGCTAGGAGGTGGGTTGGAGCCCAGGAGGATTCTAATTCCCTCCTCTCTGGACGATGGAAGCAATGGCAAAATCCTCTAGGTCTATCGTTAAGCAACCTGAGGTTAATCAGGAATCCAAGGGAGGAGGAAACTGCAAGGAGAGGTATCAATTCATAAACCCTCAAGTGTTGGGAAGCTCCAGGTTTTCCGAAGGTTGAGAGCAGCCCTTCCCTTGAATAATACATCAGGCTGAGGAGTTGGCAACTGATGGGTGGAACGAGTTAATCCACAGATTCCGCTCAGATTCCAGCGCTCCTCGGGTGTCAACGTGATTAACCAGTTTCACTACTCCCAGCGTTTCCGGGAGCAGGAGTTGCTGAAGAGCGCGGAAAAGGGGAAGGAGAAGCTGTGGAGCCCCTTCTCCCCCGTGGCAGGGCAGGGCTGGAGGGACACTGGCCTGGTGTGGAGGCAAAAAGTGAGTGTAGCATTGGATCAAGAGTTTTCAGGCTGTGACCTGGAGGCCTTGGGTCAGGGAAACCCATAGGTGACTCCAAACAAGGTGAAAAAGCTGCAGCTTGCCCTCCTGGGGACATACATCCCCCTTCAAAAGTCATCATAATGGCCAGGAGGAAACCAAAAGTTGGGAAGTTTTGATGCTGTGGTTAAAAGTGTAACTTCCCGTCAAGGAGAAAATGCAGAGGATGATTTGTTCATGAGGCATCAGCCAAACAGGTATGGCAGGAGCTGTGATCCTGAGATTGCAGCTGCCAGGCTGCAGTAGCATTCCTTAAGCGAGAACACATCCCTGCCCTGCTCTGCAGCATTCCCAGCCCTCCCTAAGGAGGCCACAGTGCTGCAGACAGTGTGTCCAGAAGCAGGTCCAAGGTGGAGCTGTGCCTTTGGAGCTGCAGGACACGCAGGAGCAGCCCAGGAGCATCAGCAGCACCCAGATCCCAGCCCTGACAGTCACCTGGCTCACAAACACCACATCCTCCAGGTGTTTGGAGGCAAGGGCTGGAGGACTTTGGATTCATTAATGAGTCCAAGGTGGTGAGATGAGCTGGAGAGCCAGGGCAGCTCACTGGCAGCGATTCAGCGCCTTCCACGACGCAGTGCCCGATGTCAGCGGCTCTCTCATCGGCCCTGGCTGAGCTTGGCTCCTCTTCCAGTGAGCAGGTGCTGGGGGAGCTTGTCCCAAACCTTTGTGTCAGGCAGCAAGAAGTCACCAAGCACACCAGTGGTGTCTGCACTGTTGCTGCCCCTCACCTCTCTATCAAAAATGCTTTTATTTTCAGTGCTGAGGTGAAAACTGGTTGAGTGCAGGTCATCACAACCCTTTAGACTAAAAATACGAGGAACTCCATGATCTATAGGATGGAATTTGAACATGTCAACACAATGCAATGTGAACACTTAACAGACAGACTTGCTCTGAGGGGAAAGGTAGAGCCAAGTCCCTGCCTGGCCTGCAGACGCTCCCTGCTCCGTGGAGCGAGGCGGGAGCTGGGGTTGGTTACAGTCAGGGCAGCAGCCTGAAAGCCACAAGGACGTGATAGGAAAAGCTTCCCGGAGAGCTGGGTCAGTTCCAGGCTAATCCAGCCCCTGTGGGGAAAGGCACTGTGGCAGATGTGAGGCTAATGGGATAACTGCACGAGCACACCCCAGGCTGCTGCTGGGCAGCTGGAAGTTAGCAGCCACGGGGATAGTGATGCCCCACGATAGCTCCCTTTCCCTTTGGAAAATGGACAAAGCTCCTCAGGGCAAACGCAGCACATATTAACAGCAGGAGGACTATGCAATCCCACATTCCATGAGCAAAGTGCAAAGTCTCCCTCGGAGCAAGTTCAGCGAGCAAACTGTACTTGTGCCGCCTGCTTAGGTGTCAGCACCAGGCACTGCAGACCCTGGCACTCCACCCCTCATGGGATGAGTATGTTCTCCAAATGCCAATTCCAGTCAATGGCAGAGGTACCCCAGGGCTGGAGTTGGCCCTGGGTGCTTCCCTCCACTCCCCTCCGTCCCAGCCGTGATGATCCAGGCAGGTTCCTCCGTGGGCCTGGGGATGAGCGTCGCTGCAGCTCACGCATGCAAAGAGCAGCATGGTCTTCTCAAATAGTCCTAGTTAAGCCTAGGAAAACATTTCCTTCCCTTCTGCCAGGCAGCCCATCCTGTCTGTCCTACTCCGCAGTAACTGCAGAGGCTGAAGCTGGTGTAGGACAGCTGAGATTTTTCCCTTTTCCCTCCAAGATGTGATACAAGTCACTCCCAGCCCAACAACCACTGGATACAATGCAGCATTTGCTGCAGCTTTCCATGGGTTTTCCTCTCCTGCACTGATGACAGAGAAAACCTCTCCTCCTGCTCCATCAGGAAGAAACTTTGCGAAGAAGCCGGCACCAGGTCCAGGCAGAATTTCCCCCATTATAGTTCAAACAAGGAATCCATTCTAGGCATAGACATAGGAATAATTTCAGGAGTTCACAGAATCATAGAATCCCAGACTGGTTTGGTTGGAAGGACCTTAAAGTTCATCTCATCCCACCCTCTGCCATGGGCAGGGACACCTTCCACCAGCCCAGGGTGCTCCAAGCCCCATCCAACCTGCCCTGGAACACTCCCAGGGATGGAGCAGCCACAGCTTTTCTGGGCAACCTGTGCCAGTGCCTCAGCACCCTCACAGGCAGGAATTCAGACTGAATTTACACCTCAGCTTCCTCCTCTCCTCTATTTAACCACTGAGGGAGTTTCCACCCGCTGAAGGGCAGCTGGAGCACAGAGATAACTGTGTGGTGCTTTAAACGTTACCAGTTTCCAGGCATCACTGATTTTCACCTCTCACAACACCCATTAAACCCTGCTGAAGTGTTTTTCCAACCTAAAGCTGTCCTAGAAGATGCAACGAAAGAAACCAGGAACAGAGGAGCGAAGTGTGTACTCTGGAAGGGTACACTCTGGAGCCTGTTAAACCATGGAGAACTCAGCAATGACACATCTTGACTTTTTTTCCACCTCCTGTTTGAACGAGGCCAGAGATACCTGTTCTTAAGCAAGAGCAGAGCCACTTCCTGGACAACCCACCACATACCCCATTTCCCGCCTATAAAAACCACCTTCCGCACGAGCTCTCGGCGCCCTGACTCAGCCCTGCACCCTGCAGAGCTGACACAGGCCTGAAATTACACTGCTCTGCTCTTTGGGTGCTCCCAGTTTTGAAAGTGAGGTGGATTGTGGGGCTCCACCTTGGCCTGAAGGCCTGAAAGTGTCTGCCCAGACCTAACTCTGAAACCCAGACGTGAGCGGAGCCAGGGCCGCGCGCAGGACCTCAGAAGAGGAACGGAGCTAGTCACCAGAGGTGACACTCACTCCCCAGCAGCCCCTGGTAGCTGATGCTTCCCCATAAAGTGAGAGGAAAGCTTATTTTTTCATTCCAGAAAGCACCAAAGCTGAGGGGATTTCAGATTCCACATGTTAGCCCTTCAGGCTGGACAGATATGAGAAGCAAATCCAAGATAAAAGGCACAGGGAAGTGTGAGTCACTGTGCTCACACCAAGGCTGCTTCCATGCTCCAGAGCAAGTTCTGTGCTCGTGGCAGTCACCTCTCCCAGGTTGAGATTCCCAGATCTGGATTCCTGGATCCAGCAACACAGGGTTATAACCTCAGGACCACCACAGCTCTCCCAGCCCTTGTGCTCAGCTGTTTCGACAAAGCGACTGATTCTTTTCAAGGAGACACATTCCTTTGGGAAGACTTCTGTTAGGAGGGTTAATTTCCAATTAGGAATGGCAGGCACATTTTTTCCAAGCCCTATCCAGGAGGACCTGGGCCCTGTGACTGGGGGGAAGGAGCCCTGCTGAGCCATGAGTCACGGGGCGATTTGGGAAGGGCATTTTGAAACATGACTCACTACTACACTACTACAATGAGAGAGAAATGAGTTTCCTCTTTCTTGAAGCTTTGTCTCCGAACTCCAAGGAGCTTAATTAAGGCAGAGTAAATTCATTTACACAGCCACACCCTCAACTGACATCCAGGTAGACAGAGCCTAAACACCCTGGATGGGAAAGGCTTTGTGGCTGCCATGGACTCACTGCCCCTGCGCCCAGGTCCTCCCACCCAGCTGGATAATCATGGAACGGTTTGGGTTGGAAGGGACCTTAAAAGATCAACTAGCTCCAACCCCCTGCCATGGGCAGGGATGCCACTCATTAGACCAGGTAATAACACTTCCTGAGGATTCCGAAAGGTTCTGCAACAAGGAGACCATTCCCAGCACTGACACCTCACACCTGCAGGAGCTACTCCACCAGCAGAGCCCGAGCAGCCCAGCTCCAGGCCGGCTCCAGGGGTGTTGCTGTCATCCCACGGCCTCTCCCATGGGATGGCAGCTGTGGCAGTATCCATAGGGTGCTGCTCACATCCCTCTCCCCCTCAGCCCTGCTGCACCTGCCCAAGTCCTTTTATCGCCTCACTCGTGTTCTGCTCAGGCACCACAGAGTCCCAACGCCATGTCTGTCACTCCACAAACATCCCTACTCCCTCATCAGCCCTTTTGTCCATTGCTGCATGTTCTACACTGGCCTCAGAGCTTCCCTTTCCAAGCAGTTTCCTCCCTGGAACACGGCATTGTCCCCTCAGCGACAGCCCCTCACCTTCCCAAGTTACGTGGGACTGGCGTTAAGGTTGGACAACTCTGAACCAAAGCCTCACCCCTTTCCACTCCTAAAAACAGTAGCTCATCTAATTCTCCAAGGAATTCCAGCCAGGCTTCCAGCCTGGGAGCTCCAGAACAGAGCCCTCTTTATGCCACCGACTCCAGCACCAGATTGCCCCTTTCTGTTTCTCTCATAATTAAATATAAGTAACATACCAGGAGAGCTCCGCTGTATAATTGCTTTATTTTCTGCTTATTAGTTCTTTTACCAACACTACAGCCATATTGAGAACACAGAATTCCTGTTTACTTTTAGTCAGGGAGATCACAGGCCACAAACTCAGTCACTTGTCGGACACGACTGTAAACGCCATTCAAAACTCACTCCATAAATTCACATGAACACAGATCGATGCACTTGGAACTCCAGACTGGGTTTGTAAATCATCAGATTTCATACAGGAATTGCCACTTTATCCTGCCTGAGAGCTCGTGGTGAGGTTCAGCTACACCCTAGAAAGGACATGTTGAAAGTGAAACCTGTGGATTTCGAGCGGTAGCGACGGACGTTTATTCCTGACGTCTCTGCCACACGTTTCAGTAACTTTTTCTCCCCCTCTCCCTCCCTCTCCCCAAAAATAAGACATAAAAAAAAATCCAGAAGCATAAGCAGTTTTCCTTTCAGCTACAAAAAAACAGAATAACAAAGTTACTAAGGGAATACAAAATTGAAGTCAACTCAATGCAAGGTCTGCCCACAGGAAACCAACTCAGACGCAAAATGAAGGTATCGAAGTTTTCATGTTGACTGAGAATAGGTTTAAGAAAGTTCAAGAACCATTAATAGAGCTTCAAGTTTTCCAGTTTAGGCATTTACTTTGTGCTTGGCTATTTTATTGATGCTCCAGAAGAAAACAGTTAACCATATTCTTGTACTTTTTCAGGTTTTTATACCATCACATTTGTTTGTTACAGCAACAGGAAAAGAAAAATACAGCTAGAAAATAGAGCAATGATATTCCAATGGCAAAAAGCCTTGGATTAAAATAAACTAAACCTCACTTCCTCTTCTTCAGGGCTGAGATGGAAGAGTTATCCCTACACTGAGCTTCTGCAGGCTCTCCTTAACTCACCAAGTCAATCAATGCTCTATGTTCTAGCACCAAGAACCCATCCAGTCCCATTTGCAACCCACATCCAGAAAAGGCTTTTTTGGAACCTAAAAGTGCTTTGGAGTGTTCCAAAGCATTGGATTTCAGAAGTGAATTCAGCATTTGTATCTTCCCATACATCTTTGGTTAAGAGCTCCATGTACAACACACTCAGCATGCAGAGCCAACACTGCAGTCATGTAGTGTAATGCCCCTAAATTCCATGTAAAACTCATATCCTTGGAAAGAAATAAAAAGTAAGGAAAATAAAAGAAAATAAAAGCCATTTTCTTCTGGTTTTGTAGCATACATTCCTAGAATTCCCCAGTGGAGTTCGAACTCCTTGAGGAGATCTGAAGTTAATCCTTAAGGCTGAGTAAGAACCAGCTGCTTTGACATTGTGTGCACCCAGCAGTGACACTTGATTGAGATTTTATGCAAATACTCGTTCTGGGTGGGGTTTTTTTGGGATTTGCCAGTCACATCCACAGGCTGGGACATGGCAATCGAGCTGCTTGCCCTTTAACAACTAATTATGGAAGTTTACATTCACCGTCGATTCTCTCTCTCTCTCCTCTCCCCACCCTCATTAGTTTCTCAATGGGCTTCAGACATCCAACATAGTTTCCCTTTCCTACAGGACTACAGCAACAACCAGGACAGATGGAGACTCCCAGTGATTTGCAGGAGTTCAGTCCAGGCTTGGAGAACTAAAGCAAGGAGTGATTTCCCCAAAATGGCCATTACTGGTGTCAGAACCTCTGAACACCAAGAAAGCTCAGCATGGGACTTGCCCCTTCAAAATGGAAAAAGAAGGATCATTTCCTTCTATCAGGAATCCTTTTAAGGATCAGGCTCTCCAAGTGCCTCGTGATGAAAGCCAGAGGCACCTCAGAGCTAAATGTTTGCCTAAACACCTCTGATTTAAGGTAAAACTCGTTGCAAGGTTTTTATTGCTGCATCTGCTGGGAGGAACCTCCGCTCGGAGCCTGACACCTAACCCTGCAGCTCAACACCACCTCAAGTCGTGATGCAAGACAAAAACTGACCTGTACCTACCCTGGAACTACTGCATTGTTCATGTCTTACTGGCTATGTGGCTTGGGGGCTGCTTGGCATCCCCCCTCATGCATGACGTATGGGGTCAGAGCTTCCCAGCTGACGTTTCCAAGCATTCCCAGTGCCTGATATGCACTTTTGAAGGGTGTTACAGTGGAACTGCCAACTCTGTGCCCACTGCAGGCAAAGTTCCACCTCCTCAGCCCGAGCCCTGGAGCCAGGCTGAGAGTCACTGTTGAGTTACAGATTAACAGAACTCTTAGAAAAAGTCCTTGATATAAAAAGACAGACTGCAGTTGGGTTTGTTTTTTAAGCAATAACTTTCAGTTTACTAGATTGAGGTCGACCTAGCAACATATCCTGCATGGATGCAAAAAAAAAAAAAGTAGCAATCTACAGCAAAGTGAGAGAAGAGAAAGGAAAAAAATAATATATATATATCGTCAAAAAAAAAAATAGACCCAGAAAGGATACACTGAAAATGGAACTCCCTCCCCAACCATCCCCCAAAAGAACCAAACCAAAGGGCTATCGAGAGGGGGGAAAAAACAACCCAAACAAACAAAAAGAGTTACTTAGCAAGTCTACAATGTGTCCTTCCCCTGTCTGCTGGAAGTCTGCCATAGCATCTAGTGCTTGTGTCCGTGTCCCATTCGGAGGTTAGAGCATCCTAACGCCAAGCAGGAGGAGTTAAAACAGGAATCCAGTCAAAGGGAGCAGGAGAAGAAAGGTGATCATAATCCTAGGGATGCTTTTTATTTTCACTTTTTTCAGTAGAGAATCATTTTCTTCTGGAAAGCCACGTGGGTTATTTTTTTGTGTGTGTGTTTGTGTGTTTTATTTCTTTCAATTCTTTGTAGACTAAATAGTTCCTCTCTCATTAGGATTTATAATTGGATGTTAACCACGTCAGCCCTTCGTAGAGTCCATCCCCTGTCGTGGCACAGGAGGGCTGCACATACCAATTCCTATCCCTGATCCGGGTCAGGCCCAGTTTCTCCTGGATTTCATGGGGTTTCATGGCATCGGGCAGGTCCTGCTTGTTGGCGAAGATGAGGATGATGGCGTCCCGCATCTCCCGGTCGTTGATGATGCGGTGCAGCTCCTGCCGCGCCTCGTCGATGCGGTCGCGGTCGGCGCAGTCCACCACGAAGATGAGCCCTTGCGTGCCCGTGTAGTAGTGCCTCCAGAGCGGTCGGATCTTGTCCTGACCCCCCACATCCCACACGTTGAACTTGACGTTTTTGTAAGTCACCGTCTCCACGTTGAACCCCACCGTGGGGATCGTGGTCACCGACTGGCCCAGCTTCAGTTTGTACAGGATCGTCGTCTTACCGGCCGCGTCCAGACCCAGCATCAGGATCCGCATCTCCTTGTTCCCGAAGATCTTGGACAG